TGGAAAAAAGGCAACAAAAAAAAAAAAGTCAATCAAAATTTTGTCATCATCTAAAACTGAATTAATGTGACAGTATGCACACATCATTGCATCATACAAACAGAAGAAAAAAAAGAGATTCTTGAGTATCACTGTCAATCACAATTATAGAAGCAAAAAAGAAAAAAAAAAGGATCTACTTAACAAACCCATTCATTATACAATGTTAAAAAAAAATGCAAATGTAATGAACAAAGTCTGTTGATCGATAAAGACATTCTTTTTTTTCTTATCACCTTTTATTGTTTAATTAAGATGAAAAGTAAAATGATGATTTACGCTTAAATTGAGCCTTAATTCTTTACTTTAGACATATAAAAGAAAAGGCACCCCCTAAAGCGATAATTGTCTATAACAAGCACTAGTCTCGACAACTTCTTTTATTAATTGTTCATCTTGATTTTTCTATATGTATATATATATATATATATATATATACGTATATGTTGAAAAGTTGAAAACACATCATATTAAATGTTGATCTGACTTATTGTTGATGGATACTGTTCATTGATGGTTGAGAATATAAAGTATGTGGACGTGTTATATTCTATGAGTCATATGATGACCAAGAAGAAGTGCAAATAAGATGAGACTCATTGTACATTGTATATTAGATGATGAATGATTGTTTGATAACAAACGTTTCATGGCGCCTAAAAAATAGACAGACAGACATGACATATAAACAGGTGTAATTTCATCTTAATATACACACACACACAAAATACGTAATTGTACTAAACTTGATAACAAATTATGACCTTTTAAATAATAATATTTTTTCATTATTTATATTGTTAACATATTGCATTCTTTCATTAATTCAACTGGTCAATTCTACAATATATCTATTATGATAGAGCTAATGAATTGATGCGCAACAAAAGAATATACTTGATGATCAAGAGTGATTCTTTTTATAGTCAAAAATTTCCGTCATAGAACTTCAGAAGAAAAAAAAAAGACAGGATATGTCTGTCATGAAGGTCATCTTTGTTTGATTTATAAAACAAAATATTAGTAGGAAGTCTATTAACTTGAATAAAAAAAATAAAAAAAAAGTAACAATAAGAAAATTTTCATCAACAAACCTTTTTCTACGAAAATTCTTGCACTTCGTTTTTGTCTTTTATATGTACATGTCCATAAACCAGAATGATATGGTTGTATATGTCGAATAATTAATTGAGATTTAGAAATATTTTTTTCATGTTGATATTTTTCATAAATATCATAATCATAATGATAATAATCATATGTATAATTATAACTTGAAAAATGCCATGTTATTGATGATGTATTTATATTATAAATCATACAATCTAATTCAACATTTGAACCTGGTTCAACATATAAACGTGATGGTTGAATAAGCATTGGTATTTGTACATATAAATATATTTTAATTGATACACTTTGACGACGATTTGATATTTTACATTCATATATACCTTCATCTGATAATTGTAAATTATAAATTTCTAAATTCCAATATGAATTATCTGATGATATAGAATAATATGAAACTGAATAACGTTTATCAGATAAAAATACTTGTTCACCAACAGTTAATGGTAAAAATGTTGAAGTATTTCGATCATATTTAAGCCATGTTACATGATGATTACCTAAATTATTAACATTACATGTTAAAATAGCCAAATCAGATAGATTCAATGTTTGATTATATGTTTGAGTTAAAATTTGTGGAAAATCATTGGTATTAACAGCTGTTGTCAAACCATGAATGATTAATATTAATAGAAAAGCTAAAATATAGAAAATAAACATTCGATGAAAGAGATGATAATGTTGATCCGGCTCACGTTTACTGCATTGCATACAATAGCTAATGATGACAAGGGTCATTCGTACAAAACAAATATTCATGACATTTTTCATATATATATATACATATGTATATATATATATGAAGAAAAGAATTTTCTCTTCACAATGAATTAACCTTTTTTTTTCTAAGGAGAATAAAGAGCTTAATTAAGTTCTAACATAGGTGTGAGATCAGAATTAGAACAGTTGAAAGAATGTGAAAAATTAATATCATTTAGAAGGATAAAAGCAAAAAGAAAAAAAAAGATACTTACATGATATAGAAAATTGTCTTGTATTCATAATCAAATTAAATAATCATTATTCAATATGTAGCAATATTACCTTTTTACTAATCGTTACATGGCGTTTGTCCTAGAATAAATGATGAATGAATAAACGTATGGATATATAAAGAGAGAAAGAGGAAGAGAGCGAGAGAAAGAGAAAGAACAGGATTATAACAAACTGAGCAGCTTGCTTGTTCTCTCTTTCTCGCTTGCTCAAGAATAAATAAACGTTTGGCTAATGGCATTACTCACTAAAAAAAAAAAAGATTATTCACTTTAAACTAAGCAGGTGCCGGTCTTTTATCATTTTTCGATCATTGTTGTTAAAATCAATAGAACTATTAAATACAAAAAAAAAGAAGAAATTTTTGTCACTTCTTCATAAATTTTTTTTTTTTCTATAGAAAGATGATTATCAAAGTAAAAAGGAAATCATTCTTTAGCTTGCATTTATTATTATAGATGATTGAGCAATCAGTATTCGTCGTTTTCCTCTTCTTTTATATATATATTCTGAATATGATGATTGACCTTTCAATTGCGTATACACGCTTACTTAGTTAAAGACCTTGTCTTGTGCATAAATTTTTATCAGTCATTTCAATCTCAACATAAATCAAATAACTTCGTTGCTGTTTTTTTCTTTTTTTTTTGACAATCATCACATTTGGTATCGATCTTTTTGTTATTCTTTTTTTATGTTCAATCTGGAATGCATTGATCATCATCATCATCATCATCATTGTCGACTAGGGGATGATGTTTTAACTTGAACAAGCTGTAGACGATGTGCCATCGAGCACAGTTTGAACATAATGCGATAAGTGAAACATCGACCGTACATGCCCTATCGGCACAATATGCGATGATGGCGGCGGCGAGATGATATACATAAACCAAACATATATATACAACAGGCAATTTGTTGTTGTTCAGAACAAATATTACATACATGTTGCATCAGGTTGTCTGTCTGACATAAATTTATATTAGTTTAACCGACTGGTTGGCGGAAGATTTCAATAGACAAAAGAAAAAGAATACAAGAGACAAATATTTATTTGATATTATTCATTTTGTTTTTCAATAGAATAGTTTTTTTTTTGAATTATTTGTTACGAAATAAACGCTATGGGAATATAACAATGAATTTTATTAGAACATTTAAAAAGAAATTATATCGAAAAGCAAGAAAAGATTTTTTTTTTTTCTAATCCAATAATAGAAAATATCGTTGAATTTCAAAATGTTTGTAGAAAATTTTTCTTGATTTAGCCCCTGGGTCAGCAGAAATACGAGTTATTTTTGCTACCGCAGCCGGTGATTTGGTATGTGGCGAGGATGCAGAAATTTTTTGTAGATGCTTTACAGAAAAATACTTTTTTTCCGATTATGATGAAGAAAAATTAAATGCTCAATGTAAACTATATTGGCAAGCTCTTGAAAGATTTGCATTTAACCCTGGTAGTATGATGAGAAATATTGGAAAAGCACAAGCTATACATTTGGATAAGTGTCATAATAAAAAAGTTGCTGAAGAAGAGTTGAAAAAGATTGTACCGGCTTATAAAATTGCTAAAAATTAGCATGAAGTATTGGAAGGTGCATGTAGAACACTAAATCTACCTAATGATTCTGCTATTGATAATTTAGGAGTGTGCAAACATACGGTTAAAAACAACAGTGAAAAACAATGAGCATGTGACATTGCTTATCGTCCTACTGTTTATAATGGCAACAAATAGAAATGAATAAGAAATTGACTTGTTAGTGATTAAAATCTTAAGCTGCGCCAACCGATTTCATTACCAATACAACAAAAAGAAACAATATAATAACCATCTTTGTTCAATGAAATTATATTTTTTTTTTATAAAATCCTGTCTTTAGACAGATTTTAATAAGTCATTTCTAATAATCTTTTTTTTTTTCATTTATTCATAGATGTACTTTGTGAATTATTATGAAACGTAATTTGTTGTTGTCAAACATTACTGACCATTATCTTTCACTTTATCTCATTTATGTTTGGATTTGTTAGAGCACGATGAGTGTGGTAGTAGATGATGAGAGATACTACAGTCACACTAATAACTTAAAACGATTGATATCGAATAGAAGTGATGGATTTGGTGGTAGAAATCAAGCAGAAATAATTGAATAAGAGCTGTAAGTAGAGAATGTGATATAAAAGAAGCATCTTAGTAGCAAACCATGTACAGTATAGAGCATCCGATAAGGCAATTAGATATACCGAAGTGTGTTACAAAGCTCAGTGGACCTTAACCATACAGAAGGAACATATATGATTCATATAAGTGGATGTAATACATTACCAAAGACATTTTGTGTACAACGGCCTACAGTTAATATGCTGTTACTGATCAATAGGCATGCAAGAGTGAAAATAGGGCGTTGGTGGATGGAGCAAAGAGAAAAAGTTGATTTTAGACCATTGGAATGGCCTCGAGTCACTTGAAATCATAGAAAGCTGATTTCCTGAGATGAAACCGATTTTCTAATTTGAGAGTATGAGTGTGGGTGTGACTTTTAGTGAACGAATAAACATTCACACCTACATCCTGTTTTTCTTCGTATGATTTCAGGAACGAAATCTATCTGTGGTGTGCTGTCTGTGTTCATCTGCACAAATTTCATACAATTCATTTAATCATTGCATTTAGTCTTGTAGTGCTCACAAGACCAGAGAAAGCTGTTTAATAAGATGATATAGTATTAAATATCCAAGCATAATTATTTTTCTGCAACAAAGCACTAGAAAGCTATATCAAAAAGTGGAGTTGTAGAATTTTTTTTCTTTCTTTTCACATATATTGTTCATGCTGTTGGTCCAGGCGTAGTATTGGAAATTTCAGGTAAAAGCGTCGTTTGAGAACATACGTTAGACATAACCGACGTTGAGGGCACTGCCGAAACTAAATTAACTGTCACATCACAAGCTTTCTTAATAAAAGGAAGAGATGACTCACGATTTTCATTAGTGTGACCAGGTGTCGATGTAGATGATACTGGCTCTGTCTCCATACTTTCTACTTGTGTAGGATTTATTTGAATTCTGACATCTTCTAAACCAATCGGTGGCGGTTCGGGAGCTAATGATGACACAGTTGACTCTTTAGATTGAGAAGAGCTACTTTCAGTAGTGCGACCTACTTCCACTGGTATTGTGGCCGTTCTTTTCGTTATGTCTCCTTCCATTTCAATAGTTGTGACACTGTTCTTTGATAAACAAACTAGTGGTTCGTTTACAGTTGATGATAACCCTGTTGACTCTTTAGGTTGAGGAGAGTCATTTTCGGCAGTGTGACTAGGTTCCGATGTAAATGAAATCATTTTTGTTTTCGTATCTTCGTCCTTTGTAGAAGTCGTTTCAATCTTACTTTCTTCTAAGTTGCTCATTTCGTTTTCCGGAGTTGGTAGTATCACAGCTGACTCTTGCGGTAGAGAAGAGATACTGGCCTGCTTTTCTTCTGGACTAGTTGACTGATCAGGTTCCAACTCAGGAAGATTGTCATCAGGCTTAGATTCCGAATCCGAAATCGTAGGATCCTTGTTTAGAGTAGAAAGTTTTGTCAGATTCCACTGATCTGCTTCATTCGGATTCCACTTCTCTGCTTCGAAGGCGAGCCACTTGCTCAAACTTGTCAGGTAATCTTTGGCGTACACAAAGTCTAACCATTTCGGTGATAGATTGTCGTAGCCATAGTAGGCACCAGCTAATTGCCCGTAAATGGCGGCTGTCGTGTCAGTATCGTCACCAAGATTAACAGCAGCAAGAGCACCTTTTTCAAATGAGTTCTCATCGCTCCAGAACGCCCATAAAGCAGCTTCCAGAGCATTAACTATGTATCCTTTTCCTCGAATACCGTCATTATATCCGCCTTTTCGTTTGTATGAACCCTTGGCAATCTTCATGACGTCTGGAACGAGTGATTTACCGTTGAACCAATTTTTATGCTTGACGTAAAATTCATTGTCTAACAGGTCTTGTTTGCTTGTACCGTGCATAGCTGCTACTATAAGAGCACCATAGTAACGACAACAATCATACGCCTTCTTATCACCATGAGTAATCTGTCCACTAATACCAGAATATTCGACAGCGTGTTTTGGATGCTTGTAGAAGAAAAGAGGCAAAGGTGCTAGACGCATCAGAGCTCCGTTACCTGCTACACCATCGTCACTGCAGAATACATCGAATTTTTCAATTAGACTAGAATCTGAAAGATGGTCTAGTTGCTTAAAAGGAACGCCGTGAACTTGAGCGAATTTTTTTTGACGATATTCGAATTCACATACAGAATGTCTGGTGGCCATACCAATATCAAAACAATGTCCTGTAGAAGACATATAGCCATGTCTGAACCACCATTTGTAGCGAACTAGCTGATCGTAGGGGTTAAACCCGTGGCAAGCCACCAATGAATTAGCCAGACAAAGAGCCATCGAAGTGTCATCAGTAAACTAAAATAGTTCATTGCATTAGAATTTTATTCTCGAATGATAGACTTTTAGTGGATGCTGGTTTTCGTGAGAAAATGAAGTCAAGAAAGTAAAAAATCAGCTATCCTTTATAGATTTACTTTTTGAAACTCATGTTTCTCAATCGTTCCGATAACCAACAAGAATAAAGGTTTGGTGTATGTAACACTAAAAATTCGGATAATGACGAACAGTTTATATTGTTGGCCAAAACCGGTAAAAAAAGTGAAGTAGAAAATACAATGTGCGAGAAAAGGATCATCAAAATCCATTTCCCGTATAATTCGATGTTACCGAACAACATCTCTTTGCGTAATCAACAACTTTGAACTATAAAAAAATTTCGGATGATTTCTCATTATTATCTCTCATATCACTGAATTCGAGAAATATTCCATGAACGAAAAGAATTTTGTAAAAAACAAACCATTAAAAAACATACATCTTAGCCTTTATTTATATCTTTATCGCAGTTATTTATGATGTTATTTAGCATGTATTGCTGATGTGAAAACTTCTTGAGACTCGAAAATATTCATTTTTGATTTTTTTTCGACTTAATCGTTTATTTAATTGGATCATGTGTCTTCTAAAGAGTGCAACTATTTTGAGAAGTGAAAAATGAGTCTTTACACATAATGTAATTAATAAGAAAAAAGAACGAAAATAGTGATAAAGTGTAAAAAACGAATCTTGTTCTTCATTTTCTTGGAAATGAACTTTGAATAGAGACTTGCGAGTTTGTTATTTTCTTTTTCTCTTATCTTATTTCATAACTTTTCGTCGAGATATCTCTGCTAAAAAATTTTCCCTAACTGTCGATACAGTTTGGCGTATAGAGGATAGAAAATAGGTTTGACCGAAAAAAATTTATGACTTCTATCTAAAATACTTGAAATTCAGGTCGTTTTATAGAAACGTCTGAGAGAAAGAAGAATCATCCAGGTTATTACAATGTTTAAAGCTCATATTCGGTCTAGAGATAGGAGGCCATAAGATCGGCACAGCCTTCAAAGAATTTTTTTTTCAATGTATTATAATCAAGATATAAGATTTTTAAGGAGCACGAGTGTAATATAAGTTTGGTCAAAATGCTTTTATGACAGTAAATATGTAGAATTCGCTCTCCTTAAAACCCTTATATCTTGGTCATAATACATTGGAAAAAGAATTCTTTGAAGGCTGTGCTAGCCTAATGGTCTCCTATCTCTGGACCAAATATGAACTTTAAACATTGTAATAACCTGGGTCATCTTTCTTCTCTTCAGATATTCCTAGAAAACGACTTGAAATTCTGGTACTTCAAGTAGAACTCAAAAAAAAATTCCGCGCAAACCTAATTTCTCTCAGTTGCAACGACAAACCAGCACGAAAAATTCAATAAAAAAAAATTCTACCCAAAAAAGTGGTTGGATACTCATGAATTTACCCATGAGTATTTATCCTTGATTTTAACTATTGCCTATGTAATGATCGAAGATTTATTGGAAATGATCGTCTCCGGTTTAGAGGAATGCGTTCAATTTTAATTGAGTAACAGATTTACAAGAATTTCAGTTGACTGAAAGCAAATATCCATTTTCAAAAATAAGACAAGTAGCTAACTTCAAGCTCTGCATCACGAGCAGCTTCCAGTCGCGGATTTTTATTGTAATTTAAAGAAGACTTGAGACTTCAAACTATATTCGATTGAGTCAGTAAGAGAAAAGATGGGGGTACAAATTAGCATCCCGCCCGCTTACTCTTAGGACGTAACAGATGTTATTGATATACGAGCAAAGATGGTATATCAATAATGTCCCATTAGAATATATAAACTACAATCTCATTGTATTACTGGAAGATTAAGCAAAAGGATAATGGAGGAATATGTTTCAAAACAGATCGAATAAACAATGTCCTTGTGATTAGTAAAAACAAGCACATCCTGCTTCACCTTTTAATACCACCAGGATTGTGCTAGTAGCCTTTTTATAGAGTCTTCAAGTCATCGAAGCTCACATAACATGAAAATGAATTTCGAAGTATGCCGAATACGTAGTAAAATTGATAAATCTTTCTGTTGTTCTCTCCAAAATAAACTTAAGAAGTATTGTTTTCAAATTTTTATTTTCCCGTATGTTTCTAACATTCTTCAGGCTGTATTTTCGTGTGGCTTGAGCTTTGATACTAAGACCAAACTATAAAAAAAATCGGGCAAAAAAGACTTTTCTCTAAATCATCTATGACAAGCCTATTCTAACCACGGCTGCTAGGTTTACTTTACTTTTTTGTAAAATAATTAAGGTAAATAAGTAACTATAATAGATACTATTTATTAGTAACTACATAGTAATATTAAATTAAAATACTATCCATATTTTCAACCTGAGGAATCGGATATAATTATAGGCCTTAGGATGGTATTATCTAAGAGTGAAAGTCATGTTAATATTTGCTTGCAGTGAAGAGTTGTTCGCCAATTAGTTGTCGCATCATTTTATGAAAATGATATTCAGCACTAAGCACTAGTCATTCTCCCTATCTTAACATCTAGGCGATAAATTCATTTTTTTAGAATTAAAATGACAACCAGTGCAAATCATTCCTGGCCGGTAAACAAGTTCAACAATAGAGAAAATGATTTACCTGTCCTTTTTCTAGGCCCCAAGTTCCGCCGCCTACAAGGTCAGTCACTGGAACTGCCTCTAGATAAGATCGCGGCCGAAATTCTACATGAGCACCGAGAGCATCGCCCAAAGCCATGCCAAACATTGACCCCATGATGCGATCTAGTACTGTACCGATAGCACCTGTAGGATCTTTCATATCGTTCGCAAGTTCATTAGGCTTCTTGATTGATTCCGAATCTGAATGAAAATTGAGGTTGACCCAAGTTTGCTCTAAACACAGATATTGCTCGAGCATGAATTAATATTCAGAACATTCATATGGAAAAATTTCTTCAAAATAAAAGTTTTTAAATTTACCTGCTCGAAATTGACATCTGGGATCGATTGGAATTGATTGGTCCATCACTAAAATAAAGTGTCAAGATATCGTCAGAACAGATGCAACTATCCACGACAGGCGATTACCGTTGACGGTGTCGTCTTGCGTCTTTATTTCTAACACAGGTATCCTTTTCTGCATATCTGACAGGATCTTCCTGTCATTCAGTTCTTCCTTTCCTTCTATTTCATTAGCTTCTATATCCTGAAATACACCCTGTTCTGGAACATCTACCGAAGTCTGCGTGCTTTTAGGTTCTTCGACTGCTTGTATTTGATTAACGTTGGTATTCTGATCCATAGTCGATGGTTTCGAAGCATCTAGTAAATTCTGTGTGTCACTCGGTTTTTCGTTTTGATCGGATTGATCATTTCCTATTTGCATCGGTTCATGGTCACATGCATTAGAAACAGAAGTAGATTCTGCATTAGCTGAATTTTGACGCGATTGTATTACCGCCATTGACTCCTTCTCATTGCTGTTATTGTTTGTCGCAGCTTGGTCAGTTAGAGTAGGCGAAACAGTTGAGTCTGTTGGCATTTCCTTGTGAGAAAATGAATCATTTTTCTGGATTTGTTCCATGTTCTCTGTCGACATTGCCGTTGTAACAGACATTGGAGTCTCGGTTGGATGCGACATAGTTCCTTGTGTACAATTAGTTGGTCTATAGCAAAAAAAAAAAACAAAAAAAAAATGAAGTTACTCGTCGACTTGGCCGTTTTTCGGCGACTTGCAACATGAAATGCCTTTAATGAGTTGAAGAAAAGAGAATAGAGTTTTTTATTTTGTGCGTCCTTTTCTTGCTTCTTTTTGCTACAAGCGTGGCGACGAGGTAGACGACGCAATAAAACATTATTATTTTTTATTCTCTATTCTTCACAAGCAAGCCTAGTCTTTTTTACCGAGCAATATTTACCTTTCTTCTTTTCACTCCTGTTACCCGTCGACATACAAAAGAATCGAACCCGTTAATGGAAGATCGAAGTAAAAGGAAAAAAAAGTAAAATACATAATAGATCATCTAGTAGATGCCCACTGACAAAATACTTTGATTACAATCATTTTGTGAAAGAAGGAATACTTCAAAGGGAAGCCAAAGAACACTGTTCGATTGTTTTTCGACGATTTGCAAAGACGGACAGCTATTTAAGATGAGATATCGACAAGTTTTTTCAACATTGCATTCCAACAAAAGAAGTCGCTACTACGACTTTTCAGGATTTAATAACCATGTTGCTATTTCAGAGCACATACACTACAGGTATACATTTTTGTAGTGAGGAGTTGTGTGAGATTCATCTCAAAATTTATAGAGATTTATAGAAAAAAAATCATAGTAAGTCTTAAGAGCTGCTAAATGATCTTGTATTTCAATAATCAAATTTTCAAGTCGAGAAATTAAAAACATTGATGAGTGCTTCGAACAGATTTCCATCATAACAATATTTGTCGATAGGCCAGCACTCGCCTGTGAAATTAAGCCACAGAGCCCCAACCAGGCCACTAGGCCTGCCTGCCTGTCACAGGCACAGGCCACGATTTTTAGGCCTGGCCTGTCACAGGCAGGCTAGGCCGACCCCTTCGACAGGCCAGGCAGGCCGCCTGGCCTGTCTAATTTTTCTTCGATATAAAACTTTTACCGCATAATTGGGATTTATTGCTAGAAAAAAATTCAGTTGAGTCAGTTTTCAAGAATGATATTTGAATATAAAGAATTTGACCAATACTTGAGAATAAATATTGACGATATATATAAATGATCAAATCTATTACTAATACGAAAAGGTTATTACCATAATGAAGAGGTTCAATAAGTAATGGAACCTCTACCCCTCGAAAAATTTGTTTTTTTCTACCCAAAATTAATTGAGAAGGGT